TTTATGTCCTTATCAAATGCGCAAGCATTCGCAGCGCCATGATCCGACGGTGCATATCTTCAGCACATGCTGTGCAAATGAGGTTGTAGAACAGTAGCACATGATATGCTGCAATGTAGTAGCGGGATTTGGACTAAGGATCTTACCAGCAAGATGCATCTGAAGCAAAAATTATTCCTGCACAGGTTACCCGAGGGAGGTAATGTTTTGAATTATATTTCATAATTTAAAGAGATCATATCTGATCTAGCTGCAATGGAGGTTAAGTATGAAGAGGAAGATACTACTTTAATGTTACTTTGTTCACTTCCAAGTTCTTATACCAATTTTAGAGACACCATATTATACAGTCGTGATACTCTCACGCTTAATGAAGTTTATGAAGCTTTGAACTCCAAGGAGAAGATGAAATTAATGGTGCCTCATGATGGTTCGAGTTCATCCCAAGCCGAGGGAATATCTATTCGTGGCAGGACAAAGGAGAAGAACTCACATAATGGAAACAGAGGCAAAAGTAAAAACGGCTACAGGAGCCGGTCACAATCCAGAGACAAGAAGTATTGCAGATATTGCAAGAGAGACGGGCATGACATCTCAGAGTGTTTCAAGTTGCAGAATAAAGAAAAGGGGAAAGGTAACAAACAAGGTGAAAATTCTGCTAACATTGCTCGTGATGATAGTTCCAATGATGCTCTTGTCGTTATTGCTGGATGTTCTGAGACCAATGATGAGTGGGTACTTGACACTGCATGCACTTTTCATATGTGTCCACATAGAGATTGGTTTAATACTTTTGATTCCACTACTTCTGCCGGTTCCGTTTTGTGTTTTGTTAATTCACCTTGCAAGATTGAAGGCATAGGTTCCATTCGAATCAAGATGTTTGATGGCACAATTAGAACTTTGACATATGTTCGGTATATTCCGAAGATGAAGAGAAATCTTATCTCTGTTAGTGCCCTTGATGCAAAGGGGTACAAGTATTTAGGTGGAGATAGTGTTTTGAAGGTCACCAAAGGCTCCCTTGTTGTGATGAAAGGTGACTTAAGTTTGACCAATGGTCTTTATTACCTTCGAGGTTCTACCGTTTCAGGTAACGCTACTCCAGTTATTTCAAAGAATTCTGATTGTTATGCTGCTAACCTTTGGCATATGCGTCTTGGACATATGAGTGAACTTGGTTTAGTAGAGTTAAATAAGAGAGGTCTTCTTGATGGATATGAACCTGGTAAATTGAAATTTTGTGAGCATTGTATCTTCGGCAAGCACAAGAGGGTGAAGTTCAATACTTCAACCCATACAACTGAAGGTATTCTTGATTATGTGCATTCTGATTTATGGGGACCATCTCGCAAGAAGTCATTAGGTGGTGCAAGTTACATGCTGACTATTATTGATGATTATTCGAGAAAAGTTTGGCCTTATTTCTAGAAGCATAAATATGAAGCATTCTCAGCATTTAAGGAGTGGAAGATTATGATTGAAAGACAAACTGAAAAGAAGGTAAAGATACTTCGCACTGATAATGGTATGGAATTCTGTTCTAAGCAATTTAAGAATTATTGCAAGTCTGAAGGCATTGTCAGACATTACACCATTCCTTATACTCCTCAACAAAACGGTGTTGCTGAGCGTATGAATATGACCATTATTTCTAGAGCCCGTTGCATGTTGTCCAATGCAGGTTTGCATAGGCGTTTTTGGGCTGAGGCAGCTTACACTGCTTGTTATCTCATTGATCGTTCACCATCTATTTCTCTTAATAAGAAAACTCCAATTGACGTATGGTCTGGTTCACCTGGTGACTATTCACAGTTGGGAGTTTTTGGTTGCACTGCTTATGCTCATGTTGATAATGGGAAGTTGGAGCCTAGGGCTGTTAAGTGCATCTTTCTTGTTTATAAGTATGGTGTTAAAGGTTTTAAATTGTGGAATCCTGAAACCCAGAAGGTTGTTATTAGCAGAAATGTTATCTTTAATGAAACTGCTATGTTACATGATGTTTCATCTACTAATGTTCCTGTTGAGAGTGAACAACAGCCTACTATTCAGTAGCCTACTGTTCAGGTGGAGCATGTTATTGAAACAGGTGATACATCTGGTAATGAAATTGTTGATGCACATGATGAACCCGTCATTGATGATGAACATGTCACTCCCACTCCAAATTAGCCTATTGTTTCACCTAGTTGGAATCTTGCACGTGACAGAGTTAGACGGGGTATTAATAAACCTGACAGGTTAATTGAAGAGTGCAATATTGTTTCTTTTGCTTTATCTGTTGTAGAAGAAATTGAAGGTAATTCTAAGCCTTCTTCACATTCTGAGGCTGTTATTTCTGGTGATAGTAATAAGTGGATGACCGCTATGCATGATGAGATGGCATCACTTGAAAAGAATGGCACTTGGGATTTAGTAAAATTGCCTAGAGAGACGAAACCTATTCGTTGCAAGTGGGTTTTCAAGAGGAAAGAAGGTGTTTCTCCTAATGATGAGACAAGATATAAAGCAAAGTTAGTTGCTAAAGGTTACAATCAGATTCCAGGTATTGACTATAACGAAGTCTTTTCTCCTGTTGTGAAGCATAGCTCTATTCGCACTTTACTCAGTATTGTTGCCATGCATGATTTCGAGCTTGAACAATTGGATGTTAAAACTGCACTTTTACATGGAGAATTAGAAGAGGATATTTATATGGAACAACCTGAAGGTTTTGTTATTCCTGGAAAAGAAAAACGTTTCTGCAAGTTAAAGAAATCTCTTTATGGATTGAAGCAATCCCCTAGACAGTGGTACAAGAGATTTGACACCTTTATGCTCTCTCAAGGTTTCAAAAGGTCTAGTTATGATAGTTGTGTTTATTTGAAAGCTGTCAATGGTTCAACTATTTATTTGATCCTTTATGTTGATGATATGCTAATTGCCACAAAGAGTATGTCAGAGATTAATGAACTAAAGAAGCAATTGAGTAATGAATTTGAGATGAAGGATTTGGGTGCAGCAAAGAAAATTCTTGGCATGGAAATATCCAGAGATAGACCGTCTGGAAAAGTATATCTAAGTCAGAAGGGATATATTGATAAAGTTCTTCGTTGTTTTAATATGCGTAATGCCAAGCGGCTGAGTACACCGTTAGCTGCACACTTCAAATTGTCATCAGCTTTATGTCCCAAGTCAGATGCAGATATTGAGTACATGTGTAGAGTTCCCTATTCAAGTGCGGTTGGTTCACTTATGTATGCCATGGTTTGTTCTCGTCCGGATTTATCATATGCATTGAGTGTTGTCAGTAGATACATGGCTAATCCTGGAAAAGAGCATTGGAAAGCAGTTCAGTGGATTTTCATATACCTACGAGGTACTTCTAATGCTTATTTACAGTTTGGGAAAACTGGAGATGGACTTGTTGGTTTTGTTGATTCTGATTTTGCTGGTGATTTGGATAAGAGAAGATCACTCACAGGTTATGTTTTCACCATTGGTGGTTGTGCTGTGAGTTGGAGAGCAACTTTGCAGTCTATTGTGGCTTGTTCCACTACTGATGCCGAGTATATGGCTATTTCTGAGGCATGCAAAGAAGCTATCTGGTTGAAAGGTTTGTACACTGAGCTTTGTGGAGATTCATCTTGCCCTACCATATTTAGTGACAGTCAAAGTGCTATATATCTTACGAAGAATCCAATGTATCATGAGAGAACAAAGCACATTGATGTCAGATATCACTATAATCGAGATGTTGTTGCTGAAGGTGATTTGAAGGTATGCAAGATAAGTAATCATGATAATCCTGCTGATATGATGACAAAGCCAGTTTCAACCAATAAGTTTGAGCTTTGCTCAGGCTTAGTTGGTATTTCTCATTAGTCCTATGGACTTTGACGCACAAGGTGTTTATGCTGATTTGGATGGAGTTATTCACTTTCTTCGACTACTGGAGGGAATTTGGCTCAAGGTGGAGATTGTTAAATTGTGATCCAAATTCTACCGTATTGGACTAGACGTAGTACATACGGTGTGGGCTTTTGCGTTGGTACCGACGCGTACGAGTACAACTCGTTTACTTGTCCTACAAGGACTCCTATGTGTTGCCCCTCATATATACCCCATGTAGTCGCACTTAAGACGGTCTGTCGTCTCGCGTTTGTAATACTCCTCCATCGTAGTGATTGCGCATTCGTGCGTCCGTAGTTTTCTCCCGCAAGGGTTTTCACATAAAAATCCGTGTCTCTCTGTCTCGTTTATTTCTCGTTATTATCTAACATCCGATATGGTGCAACCCTACAGGGCAAGCAGATGGCAATGGAGAATATTTGAATAGATATGTATCCTTTATCCTCAAGTCAGTATCTATTCTTCTCGATTCTCCGATATGGTGCAACCCTACAGGGCAAGCAGATGGCAATGGAGAATATTTGAATAGATATGTATCCTTTATCCTCAGTTTTCCCACCGGGCACTGCCGACTAATGTACAACTTTGCATCTTTGGAATCCAGGTTCCAGCATGATTTCGATCAGTTCCTGGCTCCTCAGACCTTCAAAGGGCAGCACTCTTTTGATCACAAATGCATATCTGACGCCAAGGCACCTAGAGAGGCGAGACGAAATGCTGAGAGAAAATATAAAAATATCTTTCAGTAGGAACGAAGAATCACAATATGCTAGATAGTGAAAAAACCACGATACAATCAAATATTTTTATTATTTGAGCCTGTGATATCATCAGGCACATCAATTACAATGTCGACTGAGCTTCATGTACAATTCTCACTAGAGTAAAGGCGGCTACATTCTAAAGGCGAAACCTTCCTTATCCTCAGGAGACCTCCTACAGCACCCAACGTGTCTACATTACATGAAATATTTACACAAAACACAAAATAATACTCCCTCTGTCCCAAAATATAAGAACGTTTTTAACACTACACCAGAGTCAAAAACGTTCTTATATTTTGGGACGGATGGACTAGTATACTGTACAGTTTACCCTCAGCTAAAGGGTTAGATAGATTCCACGGGATATCGCTCCTGTGGATATCTTGATAAGATGATAGCTCCATCAACTTGAAGAATGTCACCATAGGCTGAGTTGGATGCGCCAATCACAAATTGACAGGTTCCCCTTGAATCAGCATGTAGGTTAACACCATAATACTCGAGATGATCTGCCACACTTCTCCCGTAGACCGATCTATTCAAGCAAGAACAAAGAGTAAGGAAAATAGGAGGGGCATACTTTTACAACAAATGTGAGAGGCATGCCAATTACCTGCTGCAGGTTGGGTCCTCGCCTGAACAATCGCAGACTATCTCATTCCTTGTAACCACATTTCCTACTATGGTCTCACGAAGCCAAACCTGAAGACAGATAAATGTGCAACAAACATATAACTTAGAAACTATAACTTAACAAACACTATCTACAAGACCATCAATTTACTGCGGAATTCTTTTCAAGTAACAGCATTGACCTCTCTTGCAAAGTGGTGATATGTCCATTCGCCTAGGTAATAAAAGTATGGTGGCAAATGTGGAACAATGTCATTTTCATGGGTCACGCGGATTGTTCTTGGAACCTGCTCGTTGAAGTATTCAGCAAAAGCAGGATTGCCTACCCGAGGCTGTCCAAAAGTTATGAGCTGAACTTTGTGTGACCCCCATTTAACCTGGAAAACAGAAGGGGAGAAATCAGTTGACTGAATCTCATATACCTAATATAATAGACAGGGTTTTATTGTGAAAAAAAGGATAGCTTCATCCTTGCTTTGTTGGATTTACATTCAATGTGAAAACTCATGACCCACATTGGACATATGAAATAGTTTAGATCAAAATCGGAATTCAGCTGTTTATGGCATGGTTTGAATTAAACTGAAAACTAATCCTGCATGTACTTCCATAACATCCCACAGAAAGTACGCAGAATTGAGGATAAACGTCCAAGTAACACACGAAGATACAGATTGCTCAAAGGTACTTACAGAGAGATCAAGGGCACAAAATGAAGCTAAAACCCCTCCCATAGAGTGACCTACAACATTTATGGGTAATCTTCCATATGCCTTCCATGCCCACTGAACAGATTTCAGGATCTCATGCCGCAGAGTTGTATTATAATATGCAGAATAAAATCCATGGTGGACCTGCAACATGAGAAAGAAAACATAAGGTGAATAAGTAATTTCAAACCCATTTATATTTCGTAAGAAAATAATAGAACATTGATCGGTGGAGACAGGAGAGATACCATTGCATCTGGCATGCCTGGATAAGTTACATCTAGCTGCTTCCAGAAGAGATCTTCAATCCAATTTGAGGCACTTCAAATGTAAATTTTGATGTTGGAATGAATGGTTATTAGCAATATATTATGTATTATATTTTAAAGTAAACACTGTTATGTCTAGAAACTATTCGCTAGAACAGACACAGATGAAAGAAGTGCTCACATGGTATAAATTTTGGTAGGCAGTAAGTTATGTAACATAACCAGCAATTATTTGTACCTGTGTTATTGGGTGCCTCTAAAGGCAATTATTATGGATCGTGGATCAGGGGCAACTCCAACAAAAGCCTGCTCAAAAGTATTACTTTTATATATGAGCATAATTGTCATTTAAAACAGCATGCAAGAAGATCATGAGAAGCCGTGAACACAAAAATAACGAACCTGTAGACATTTCTCTACATCTACAATGATCTCTATCATCTCAAAACCCTGTGTTAATAATCAAACAAAGAACGTAGTTATGGCCAGTTTGTACAGGCAGCATAAGAAGCCAAGTCTAGTTTCTGTCTCATGGGTTGTACCGTCGTGCGACCTTCACACCTTGGACAAGTCCATGTCAAAAGTGAGGTTAGGTCGGATGTATATACCTGGAATTCATTTAGGCAAGCCAAGTCATAAAAAGAATTTTTGAGTCATGCAAGGATATTCCCGTCACAGAACTTCTCTAGCTAGGAGTTTGAGGAACTAAGTTCTTAAACAAATTACGTGCTAGTATATATGGTTCAAAGAGGAACTTACAGCAGATGCATATTCAACAAGAATATGAGCAAGAGTACTATTGTAAGAGTAACCACCATCAGATTGCTTCATCCTGAACTCTGCATTGCACAAAGAAAGTGTAAACAACTTGATGCTACATTATGCAAAACAATGAAGGGCTTTGTGATGTCCAGCAACGGTAGCAATTCAAGGAATCTACATATCAGATATTAGTGTTCGGTTTTGTGATGTCCAGCAACATTTTCCAGTCTCAGCAAGGATAAGGTAGCCCACTGATCTCACCTTTCATGCATGGTTGTTCTCTATGAGATTTGCACATCTCCAAGCAAAGTCGCTGGAATTATCTGTAGTTAGTATTATATCAAGGGGTGCATCGCTTCCTACATTACTGTATTGCTTGGTGGCACGACAGTAAGCAAGTGAAATATTCCAAGCAAACATCTGAACTTGAGAACGCATGAAGCATCTGAACTTTACTGTCCCCAACCAAATATCCCACAGATTACACGAAATCTGTTGCTCTAGCAGTCCCTGCACTAGAGTTTTGATCTCCCCTTAGCATACCATTCATCAACTCCTGCCCAATTAACTTTAAATTTCGCTAAATCACTTCTATCTTGTCCCCTTCTCGCATTGCTCCCAGCACAGCCGGTGGAACTAATAACTCCTGAATCTCGCTCGATTTTTCCTCAACCCCAACCACAAATCCGGCGGAACCAGCTACAACCATGGCACGGAACCACGCGCACCGGGCACGCGTAGCAATGAAGCGTTTCAACTACGGAAGCAAGATGAGACTGGGGAAAAAGTCAAGAGATCGTCACCTCCTCCTTCCACCGCCGCCGTTGCTGCGTCCGCGGGAGAGAGCACGAGAAGAAAAAGTCCCGTGAGGGCCAGCAGCACCGCCGCCCGCCTTAGCGGCGCCATCGCCGACGTCTCTTTCTTTCCCTCTCTCAGCAGCACCAAACGGAGACGTGTGATGAGCAAGAAAGAGGACGGGAAAGTAGGAGCAAAAATTAGAACTTTCTTACGAGGATTGTTACGTGAAACTGAGAAACGGTTGACAGGGACTCGTTTTCGTTTTACACGTCAGAGCACTACGGGTCCATGCAGAAAGAAAATGAGATGTTTTGTTTTTTGTCTATTGTTTTCACGGGTCTCTGTGTTCTTTATTAGGCCTGCGTCGCACGGAACTTTAAGCATCTTCCAGCCAGGCCTGCTAGAAATGTCTAAATCGGCAGTTTTTTCAGAGCCAGACACGTGGGTGGCGGCGGCTACACAGGAGAAGCCACGCTCGAGAAGTCGGGTTGCTTCCCGAAGCGCCGCCAATAATTACCCCCACCTTCCCTTACCGCTCTCTCTCCCCTCTCCCACTCTCACAGGCGGTGGCGGCGTCCAGCGGATCGGAGAATAGCAAGGCGACCACGAGCATCTGCAACATCACCCGCGGCACTTCGGCAATGGCGATAAGCACTATTTTGACGTCCTCACTTACTATTTTTCATTCGATCTGCGTTCTAGGGGAATGGGGAATGGGGGTAAATAGCCATAGGACTGATCATAACATCATCATGAGTTCCTAGTGGCGATGGATTTTTAGGGTTCCAATCCGGATTGAATACAAAAGGAATGGGGATTAGGGGTTAATCTTATACAGTAGTTTCTAATCTTTGCCCCGGCGACCCTGGAGGCCGTTGGAGCGGCACGTGCCCTTGGCCTTGTTCTTGTCCTCTGGCTGGACCACCGTCTCGTCGTCCTCGCCGGAGTCCAAATCGATTGGCAAAGTACAGTGGCCTGGCTCCGACGCCCTGACAACCATCTCCGCCACTTCTTCTTCCTCCACCACTTTGTGTTGTTCATAATGCCATAAACTTTGTGCTCTTCGTAACGCAGATCAAGACGAAAATAAGGATAAGAAGGTGATGCCTCCCATGGACAAGGGCAAGGAGGTGGTGCCGCTCTTGGAAGTTGTGCTAGCCACGCCTGAGGAGATGCCGCCCACGGACGTCGACGTGGTGCCGGAGGAGCCCCCAGTGGCAAGCGCCGAAACTACGGGCTACCATGAGAAAGGTGGGACAACTCACTTCTGCAAGATGATCCTTGCCCCGAAGCTCGAGTGCATACCAATGCCTCTAGACGTCACCAAGCACTTCCCAGCCGTGCCGACATAGTTCAAGCTGAAGACGAACACCAGCTGCTCATGGAGGGTCACTGTGAGGCTGATGAACGGCAGGGTCACCCTCAATCAGGATTGGGCCACCTTCGTCGCCGTCCATCAGATCAAGATCGGGTACGGGGTGACCTTCAAGTTGCTGACTTTTGACACGCTCAAGGTCATCGTCTTCGACGACGACGACGTTGAAGTTGTGACCAAGTGCGGAAGGCATAGGGTAGCTCTCCGTTGCTCCAGTTGGTTTAGTATCGACTATATCGTATTTACTTTGGTTAAAAACTGCTGTCTTTAAGTGTGGTACTATGTTAAAAATTGCTCGCTATGGTTTCGAACTGTGTTAATATGCTATCTCTTGTGTATCGTTGGGTTGGTCTACACGCTCCTGTGTGCTGGTAACCTCACCACCTCGCCGAAGAGGTTACCAGACAACAAGCGTTGCATGAAACCAAATGCCTTGTATTTCCGCCTAAACAAGTGGGCAACCAAACAGGCCACCTCTCATTACGCCTCACGCAGGCTAGGGGGTATGCACGCAAACAAACAACATGCAGATGTTGGGTTTTTACCTATTTTCCCTCAGCCAGGCCCAACTGGGTCAAGCATGCAATGCAGGCAAAGGTTTCTACAGAACCAAACATGCCCTAGGTAACTAGATGATACCCTACACCGTTGCTACGGGAATTTGTAGTGATACACGAGCTGGATTTATGGAGTAGGTACATAGTGAAACCATCTAATGAAATATATAAATGCATGCCTATTTGAACCCTTGATAGGATGATATGAAAAGTCAGAGAAAATTGTGGTATGGTTGATAAGTGCATTGGTAATATACTGATGTATTGAAAAATATCATTGATTGTATTAAGCTTGATTAATGATAAATATTCATATCATTCATACCTTGGTAGTTCTGTATTGAGTAAGAACTTGCTCCAAAAAATTCAAGATTGCCACATTAATCATTATTTATCGTTGGATAAGTGAACATTACTGGGTGCACCATGCTAACAATTCAGTAAAGCTCTTACTTTCCACTTTCTCAGTGGCGATCGGAAAATAAGTGTTGTTCCCATACCACATTGAGTGAATGGTCCAAGGTACATGCAACATATTGTGCAAATTGATACGTCTCCAACGTATCTACTTTTCCAAACACTTTTTCCCTTGTTTTGGACTCTAACATGCATAATTTGAATGAAACTAACCGGACTGACGCTATTTTCAGCAGAACTGCCATGATGTTGTTTTATGTGTAGAAAAGAAAAGTTCTCGGAATGTCCTGAAAATCCACGGAGGCACTTTTTGGAAAATATAAAAAATACTGGCAAAAGAATCAAGACCAGGGGGCCCACACCCTGTCCACGAGGGTGGGGGCGCCCCCTCCCCCTGGGCGCGCCCCCCTATCTCGTGGGCCCCCTGGACCTCCACCGACCTCAACTCCAACTCCATATATTCACGTTCGGGAAGAAAAATCAGAGAGAAAGTTTCATCGCGTTTTACGACACGGAGCCGCCGCCAAGCCCTAATCTCTCTCGGGAGGGCTGATCTGGAGTCCGTTTGGGGCTCCGAAGAGGGAGATTCGTCACCGTTGTCATCATCAACCATCCTTCATCACCAATTTCATGATGCTCACTGCCGTGCGTGAGTAATTCCATCGTAGGCTTGCTGGACGGTGATGGGTTGGATGAGATTTACCATGTAATCAAGTTAGTTTTGTTAGGGTTTGATCCCTAGTATCCACTATGTTCTGAGATTGATGCTGCTATGACTTTGCTATGCTTAATGCTTGTCACTAGGGCCCGAGTGCCATGATTTCAGATCTGAACCTATTATGTTTTCATGAATATATGTGTGTTCTTGATCCTATGTTGCAAGTCTATAGTCACCTATTATGTTTTATGATCCGACAACCCCGAAGTGACAATAATCGGGATACTTCTCGGTGATGACCGTAGTTTGAGGAGTTCATGTATTCACTATGTGTTAATGCTTTGTTCCGGTTCTCTATTAAAAGGAGGCCTTAATATCCCTTAATTTCCGCTAGGACCCCGCTGCCACGGGAGGGTAGGACAAAAGA